GAGAGAGAGAGAGAGCAACCGCGATGAGATAATACCGTTCTTTCTTCTCTCAGTGGCGCGAGAGTTAATCAGTTTCGCCGTCGGACTTTTTGCCCTCGATCCGGCTGGATTACGAAATCGTTGGAACAGGTGAGACAAGTTCCGCTGTTTGTTTCGTCTTCTCCTCTTCGTCGAACTCTTGGAAGTCTGGGATGTATTTGGGAAGTAATATCGAGGAACGCGGAACGGTGTTCTGACGCTGTTGTCACGTTCTTTTGTGAATCCCGCGGAATTTGAATCGAAGTCGTCAGTTTCGATTCTCTGATCGATTCACGATCTTCGAGTTTCACTTTCAGGAAGATGTTCAATATAAAATAGTTGCCGAGAGGCCACGCGTTTATTAATAATATACGTGAATGAGAACAAGTCATTCCTCGTAACTTACTTCGAGCGTAGTAACTTATTATAAAGTTTCAAATTCAACAACTTAGTTAGAAAGGCGGAGGGGGGAGGGGGGAGGGGGGGGGAATGAACATGAGGTAGTAAAAATTAATAAAGAAAAAGTTGGCGAAGCGTCGCGAAGAAGTTAATAAAGCATCGCCTTGATAAAAATTTGTCGAAGAAGAGAAAGATGTTATGTCACGAGAGGGATGAAAACTTGCATCTGAAATCGCGACGAATTTTTACTTCTTCCGCTGTTAAATTCTTAGATGGAATTCTGGATACTTCCTTGAAGATAACCTAGATTCAAATTCCGTTAATTGAAATTTTCCTCTTTCGTAAAAATTGCTCGAATCGACTGAGGATCGTTTTAAGTTCGGAACTATCCAAAAAAAAATTCCAAAGACTTCCTTGTTTATTTGTCTGTCCAAAGAGATTCTAAAGATTCTAAAAATTCTTTTCTACTCCGTTAAAAATTCTTCGTTCCGTGTAACAGAGAAGGCTCGAATAAACCAAAGAATCCGAAGATCGCTGGATAAATCACATCTGTTCTTAGCGGGCAATTAGTTAGATAGTCTAATCGCCGGCTTTAAGCAGTTTTCGTACATAGATTAGCGAGTACGTTGTACGCGTGTGCAAACACACACGAGAGATGGTCGAGTCCGTCGCAACGACAGGACGATTTACGAGGTTTCACAGGCTCGCCTGTCGGCCAGATAGAGCGAATGTGTCAATTACGATAAAGCTCATCGGCGATCGATGTATCTGATGAAATTATTTAGACGCCCGCTGTCAAGCAACGACGCGAATCCTATCCTCCCCGGTTCACCGCGATATTACGCGAGCCGAGAGCCACTATTGTATCGCAAATACAATTACTCTACCTATAAATGTTCCTGTTCTGTTGTACTCTGATCACTGTTTTATTTATACACCTCGAAAGTTTGAATGCGACTGACAAATTTCGTATACGTTTATAAAGAGGAACGGCGATTTCAGATATTTCACGATACCAGCGGGAAATTATAAATTCTCATGCTGCACGAGAACATTCTGAACATTTCATCGGCATTATAAACAGACGCGATTATATGATTATATGATAATTGGAAATGAATTGGAAAGCGTACGATATGTTCGAATATTTAGAGTGTTTTAGATACGTCAAAACATATGTTGGAATATTTGAAATATTTTAGGTACGTCAAAATATTTAGCGAGATCATTTTTAGCGCCAAATGATATTCGCATTATTTATATAACAAAGTATTCGTATTACGAAGCATTTTTTTTTTTTTTTTTTTTTTAATATCTTACGTTTCCAGAATGGTCAAATTTCACGTTGTGTTCATAAAAATTTTCTGTGTGATAAATGTCCAAATATTTCCGCGAATCACTATGAATCATACATAGAAACATATAATATTCGTGGCAAATTTTTAATTAAATTTATATTAATGAATCTTAGACAGATGTTCTTATTCCTCTCCGCTTGAACAATATAGCAGAAAAAAATTGTCAAAAAACACGATTCGTGTTATTAATAAAATTTATTCTAAATATAATATTATACGAGTATAAAATTAGATACTACGTTGTCAAAGTTACAGACTTAACGTAACATTCGATCCATCATCTTCGTCGTCTTCGTCATTCCTCATTCTCTTGCCGTCGGTAAATAAAGATCAGATTTTTCAGACTTTCAAGCATTTCTTCGAAAATTTTATCAAGCAATCGCGCGAAAGAAATCAAAATCTCCGTCTTGTACGTCTGGCTCGCCGTTATTTGTTCTCTCTTAAACACAGAGTTCGTCTTTAACGCGTGTCTCTTTAACGTTTCACTTTATCTTGCGATTTATCGCGGGTAGTTCGTTGTTGGTGAACTTGTCAACTTCTTCGCCTCGTTCTCGTAACTTTCTCCTCCGCGTTCACTCTTCGCCTCTCGCTTTTCGCCTCACTCATTATCCGCATAAACATTTATCTTCTCCTCGAGCATTCTCAGCTTGTCCTCGTCCGATAAATTACAGCCGCTGCCGTCCGGATTATCCGTCGTGTAATTTTTAACGCCGGTGTTCCGCGTTTCCCTGTCGTTCGTGTCGTTCTTCTTCTTGTCGATCTCGGTCAGTTTTTCGAACAACTCCTTGTCTCTCCATGCTTTTCGCATGTCCTCGCCGAAGGCTACCTCTTCCAGTTGTTGTTCGTTCTCCTTTATCCAAGCTTGCCGTTTATTGAGCAATAATATCTCGTCCTCCAGCCGATTTCCCCCCGTTATTGGTTCTCCCTCGTCGATCGATTCTGTTAAAGTGCGATAAATGATAGTTAAAATAGTCAAAGTTAATTT